GCCAGCCCCAGGCACAGTGCCACGCGCCCCGCGGCGCCGCCCCGCCACGGCCGGCGCTGCCCCGTGGGCACGGTGCCACGGCTGGGCCACAACCGAGGGGCTTCCTGGAAAAGGTCACCTTTTCAGTGAAGGATCAGCTGTCCCAAAGCCAAATGCTTCTTGGCTGAGAAAGAGCCTAGTTTTTGGCCCAAAAGAACAAAAAGTAAGGTCAAAGACAACTTTTTTTTTTCTTTTTTCTTTTTTCTTTTTTTTTTTTTACCTAAAGGGAAGTTGATATTTTCTACAGCAAGATCGCATTTAGCTGGAATCCTAATTTTTAATTGAAAAAAAAAAACAAAAAACAACCCACAACAACAAACCAAAATTCTTCCAGAAAATCTTCCACCAGCCAGGGACTACCATATGAGCCCAGTTAGGTTGAAGTCATTTTTAAAGACATTAAGTTCTTGTCTATATTTTCTTCCTGGTTGTCATTTAAAGTTTTTGGTGCCTTCACTTCACTTCCATACCTTAACATGTTTGAGTCTCTTCTACGGTTAATATTGATTAATTTCTTGGCTTTATAATGTTTGGTTTGGGGATTATTGCACCATCCCTGTAACATAATTTGCCCTAAATTACTGATATGTGCTTCTAGCATTAGTCCTACTTTAACATAGTTTTGATATGACCGTTTTCTTGCTTTTTTTTTTATTTTATTTTCATTTTTTATTTTAATTTTAATTTTTATTATTAAAAATTGCATGCATGAACTTTACACAGAAAAAAAAAAAAAGTAAATGAGAATGTTACCCTGTGATAACTCTGTGATTGGAGGAGATATGCTTTCAAATCAAAAGCCATGCTCTTGTATTTTAATTTTTCTGGCCAGATTGCCCATTTTGCTTGGTTGTTTTAGTGTTTCCCACCCCCAGAGCTGTGCAGAGAGGCCAGAAGGCCCCAGCCTGCCCTGCTACACCACCACAGCAGCCACACGAGCACCGAGGCACACACACTCACACAGGCACACTCTCCTTCTTCCACCCCCCTCACATCAGGCAGGGTGTTTAACAAAGGACCTTTCTTCTACCTGTTCATTTTTGTATCTCCAGTTCCTCCTTCTCCTCCACCAGTGAGTCACCAGCCTCTCCCCTTTCCCAGTCACCTCTCCTCCCTGGGGGAATCAAGCCCCATCCCACGAGCTTTTCACACCTCCCAGCAGCTCTGCCATGGAAATAACTGCATTTAGCTGGAATCCAAATTTTTCACCAGGAGGGGGTGGCTGCACCCGATTTTGGGAGAGAGGGGTGTTTTTTGGTGCGCTGATGGATAGCCACAAAAAGCTCCCCCCAGGGCAGCAGGGGACACCGGGATGCCCTTGGCCGCTCTCTGCCAGTGGGTGATGGCCAAGCTGTTGGCCCTTAGCAAGGCAAGGCCGTGGCCAGGCATTCCCAGAGGCTCCATTGGAATCCTTGCAGTGCCCGAAGTGGCGAGGTGACCCCGCGGGTGTCAGCGCGTCCCCAGCACGGTCCCAGGGAGACGGGAGCGCGCTGGCTCCCGGCCCTGCCCCAGCGGCTCCGCCGAGGGGAGCACAAAGCCGGGCTGGGCAGGGCAGCCCCAGGAGCCCAGGCCAGGCTCGGGGGGTGGCAGGAGGCAGGGTGTGCAGCACACAGGGTAGCCACAGTGCCAGAGCTGCCGGCAGCGCCGCGAAGGCCACGGCCACCATTGACCAAAGCGGGGCAGGTGAAATCTGTCACCGAGGAGCCCCCCTGGAGCCCCTCAAAACATCAGCCCTCCTGAGCAGGGTGGTGCAGGGGCTGGGAAAATGTCGCTGGAGAGGGTCTGTGCTGCAGTACACGAGACCCACAGGGACCCTTTCCTGCCCTGGCACCGCATCAGGAGCGCACAGAGCGGCGCAGGATGCTCCGGGCCACCTGCTCTCACAGCAGGGCTGGACTGGGCTTCCAGGCCAGGGTTTGGAGTTAGGAGAGTGGAGCTGGGAGAGGAAGGGAGTGTGGAAGGAGAAAGGGAGGAAATAACTGCCCAGCTGTAAATTCCTGCCTGGGGAGGAAGGACTTTTTTTTTTCTTGCCCATTGGTGGGTATTTCTGCTCTGCCCCCTACTTGCTGATGGGACTGCAGCAGGGGAGGGCTCTCCCATGGCCCCTCCCGTGACAAGCCCCCGCATCTGGAAGGAGCTCAGAACCCCCAATCCAGGCCACAATCCCAACACAGGCCGTACTTTCACATTAGCAATCAACGCCACACTTTATCACGAGTCAGCCACACCACACATCTCACCTGCATGGAAGGAGAGTCACGGCAGGGTCATTCAAGCAAGGAGGTGAAATGCCCTGGCCTCAAAGCACAGCTTGATCTGGCACCAGAGAGTGCCAAAACCCAGCCAGACCCTCCAAACACAGGTTCAGGCGTGGGCTGGGCTGATGAGTCACAGGCTTTGTTTTGTAGCCCTCCCAGAGCAGAGAGGGCCTGGTTCAGCGGGTGACGTGGCAGCCACGCTCTGCAGAAGCTGCACCACGCTCCTGGTGTCCCCTCTGCCCAGCTCCAGGGAGCTCCCCACTGCTTGGGGAGCGTCAGCAGTGACCTCTGCTCAAGCGTGGATGGCGCTGGGAAGGGGACCTCAGCCAGCAGCAGCTCTCAGGGCGTTGCTTCACTCCCAGGGGATATCCTGTAGGGACACATGGGATAGGAGTCACAGCGGGGACGAGTGCCAGAACTGCCTAACACTTCTTTCTCCTTGTCTGTCTATTTGTGTGTTGCAGCAGTATCACCCCACCGACATCACTGGCCAGCTCAACCTCTCCGACCCCTCAGTCAGCACTGTGGTGTGACCTTCTCCCCGAGGGCCATCAGTCCTTGCCCAACACAGTAGGAAGGCACAGCCAGGACTGCCTTTCCAGGGACACTGATGGGTTCTTCTGGGTGAGATGGGAGGAAAGCATCCTTCATCCATACACAGTGACTCCATTGTATATCCCCCTCCCTTCCTAAGCCTGCTGCCATGCTCGTGCCCCAGGAAGCACGGCAGGACCAGGACAAGGTTTGGACTTCACTGTACAGAGATAATTGCTTCCAAACAGTGCCACGATAATCAGAATTGCCACCGACTGGCTCCGTGCAAGGGGGAAGGACTGCAGAAGGCACACGGTGCCTGCTCTCCCATGGTAGCAGGGAAGAGCTGGTGCCAGACCACAAACGCGTGCTTCTCCTGACAGACTGCAGCCCTGTGAGCACACGCAGCCCCCCAGACGTGTGCTCCACGTCTCCCACCGCCTGGAGGGCTCCGTGCCCACGGTGCTGAGCAGCTGGAGCAGCCAGCTCCTGGTGCGGCAGGTGGGGCACACGTTCCTGCTGTGCCGAGCGACCCTCCCGTCCGCAGCAGGGGCTGCGGGTGTGCGCCCTGCTCCTGCAGGGGACGGGCCCTCCTCCCTCCCCTGCCGTGGCTGTGACTCGGGCCCCGGCCGCAGCCCTCGCCCCTGTGCTGACCGCGGAGCCCTGCGGTGCCCCCCGGCTCCCAGCTCTCCTGCACAGAACACATCCCCAGGACCTGGCCACGGCCAGCATGTAGCACTCACACAGCAGCTCTCCTGGCCAGCGATTCTCCGCGGAAAATGGCTCTGGATGGTTGCACTGACCTCTACCCCAGCTCCACACTGCCTCAGCACCAGCAATGCAAGGAGAGATGCTGCGGGCTGCTCGCTGCGGTGCCCAGGCTGGCTCAGGGCAGCTCCCCTGCCACCCTCACCTGCAGCTCCCA